GTTGTCTCTCTCGCACCGCTCCCTTAGCAGTGGCACCGTGTTGCGTCTTCGCACATTTACATGGAAACAGTGTAGCTTTAAAATAGAAGTATGAGCGTTTGTGCAATATGTTTATTTGTATATGCATATGAAGCATATTTAACTGATGAAAACATAATTTTTTTTTAAATTGGATGTTTACATCAATCTCATGGTAGTCTTATTTTAATTTTGAGTCATTTTGCAGTTTTTATACAGCTAAATAGCACATAAATTACGTAATTCACATAGATACATCAATATTACGTTAAACATTTCGTTTAATATGCCAGATTTCCTGCAAATACATTATAATTTACAAAAGGAATTTCACTACTAATTGCCTACTTTGCGTACTTTTCTACTACCATTTTCGTACCAAGAGATTTCTCCCCTTTTCTCCGTCCTTCGTAAAGGCAACCTTTTGTAAGGGAGTGTCAAACCGCAGCTGTCAATAATTATCTAACCTTGTATTATTGAATCATGAGTTCAACCATTCGAAAGCAAAAACAACGCATGATACAAAAAAGAAGGTAGTTTCAATAAACAACTTTTGACGGATAATAAAATTTTTTGAAGTTTCATAAATTGTGAGTATACTCAACGGCCTTGCCACTTTGATAATATTAAAACAATAAATCGGAGTATTTTCTTTCCCATATTTATACCAATGTAATAACATTTCAAATCAAAAACCATTATCAGTACTTGGTACTTTTTTTACTTACGTGGTTGGCACCGTTTTTTATTAAAAATATTTAAAATGTAAACTGTTAAAGGAGACTTCATCGTAATTGTTCCTTTCATTTGGTAATAAAAACCACGCGCGCACTACTCTGTTATTTTTTTGGTTTCTTATTTTGAATGCAATCTTGCGATTTAAAAATCGAATTCTAAAAAATGTTCTTCCCAAATGAAAACCTTTTATATTTCGGTTCAAATTTAATTTTAAATTTCTCATAAGATTTTGCAAAAGATTAGACTTTGTGATTAGCGCATCATCATTAAATTTAACAAATTTTTAATTTATGCAAAACACCTTGAACAGACCGCCCTCCGATAAACAACTAACTGCCATACCTAAACAAAAGCTTTGGGCGGAGCGGTTTCTGACGGCTAGCGTTAGCGCCGAAGTGCCATGCCTAAAAAAAAGCGTCAACGCTACGTCAAATGCAGAAATAACACCAACAATAAGCATAGGTTTGTTTGTGTGTAACACGACAATGACAGTTTCGCCATTTTCTGCAGCCAACTTTAATACCTAACGCCCTGTCAAAATCGGATTTTCCAACCGCTCAGCGTTGACGCCGCGTTATTTCGGTATGCTTCATACAAATTGTATGGGCATGAGAGTTTTTTGACAGCCAGACAACGCTGACGCTTTTGTTTAGGTATGGCAGTGACAGATCGTCGCTTAAAGTACAAAACCGTGTATCAACAAAAAGCACAANTGAACAGACCGCCCTCCGATAAACAACTAACTGCCATACCTAAACAAAAGCTTTGGGCGGAGCGGTTTCTGACGGCTAGCGTTAGCGCCGAAGTGCCATGCCTAAAAAAAAGCGTCAACGCTACGTCAAATGCAGAAATAACACCAACAATAAGCATAGGTTTGTTTGTGTGTAACACGACAATGACAGTTTCGCCATTTTCTGCAGCCAACTTTAATACCTAACGCCCTGTCAAAATCGGATTTTCCAACCGCTCAGCGTTGACGCCGCGTTGTTTCGGTATGCTTCATACAAATTGTATGGGCATGAGAGTTTTTTGACAGCCAGACAACGCTGACGCTTTTGTTTAGGTATGGCAGTGACAGATCGTCGCTTAAAGTACAAAACCGTGTATCAACAAAAAGCACAACTGCGTATGTGAGGTTGCATACATTATTTTGTATAGAGTAATATAGAGTATATTTCAAAATGGTTCTCTTTTTTACAAAGAAATCGCATTTCAGGACGAATGGATCAGGCTTGAGCCAAGAGCTTGTGTGAGCAAATCCAATTTTAGGCAAAAAATGTCAGTTACGCGGTTTTGCAGAACGATATGTAAGTATACACTTTCTTCATACTTTCTGAAACCTAGTCGACAACCCCATTTTCGAAATCATGTAGCCGGCATAATTTTCTAGTTCACCATATTCCACATCTTTGAATGTACTGATAAAATCGCCTGCTTAAAAAAAAAAATTTTCTTTTAGTGATCAGGTAGCATGAATTTGATGAAATGACATAATTTTATTAAAAGCCAAATGGTTAACAGCAACAACGAATGCCATTAAATGAAACTACCGTCTTTTTTGTATCATGAAACAACGTACGTGTATTTTTTCAAAGAATTAAGGCGAATTGTGTGTGTGTCTCATGTGTTCTGGGGTTAATGTCGCCAGCGCTCCTCATTTATTGGTGTTGGCCGCTCAATTCCGGTGTTAGCGCAATTGCGCCGTGCAGCGCAGTGTTAATCATGCCTAGTATTTACTCGCATGTCTTGATTCCTAAATAAAATTAATCAGAATATTTCCATGAACCAAAAATACAAGATCACGTAAGAACGCGACGTTGTATTTGTAACTGGTTTTGAGAAAAAAGTTTGCGAAAGCGGGTTCGTCAGCTGAGCGTTTGTTTACATCACAAGCACCACTATTTTACATTTTTGTTCAAGTAAAGAAGAGTTAATTCAACATGACAACACATTTTGAAGCATTTTGTTGATCATTTTACCTAAATTGTGCGTTTAAAGTGGCTGACAATAATTTTGGTTTTCGTTGTTTTCTTTGCTTTGTTTACTTTTCGCTCGTTTTCCAGTGAAACAAGACGGCGTAGAACCCGCAAAAATCGACTTTTTTCACTTTCTTGTTCTTACGTGATCTTGTGTCTTTCGTTCATGCAATATTTCTATAAATTAAGTACTAAAGATTTTGATCAGTACACTGCACTAATAACACAGCGCTTTTCTGTTCATAAAATGGGAACAATCCAAAACAATGATAAAGAGTATAGCAGCTCGACACTTAGTTATGGTGAATTACCTATGGAGGTATGTATGAAAAATTATGTTATCATTCAGCGTTCACATGACCTGTGACCAATTCAATACGTGCATAGTAAGGTACAAATGAAGGGTTGGCTCTCCTTTACGGCCGATTTTGTTTCACATATTACGTCAAAATCGGTGGACCGAATTTAATGTTTATCACATGCACACACATTGCTAAAGGACCACACTTGTGTTTAAAGTATTTTTATTATTTAAGGAACAAGTAAAGGATACGCACCGTTTCGCTACAAAAAACTAAAAATAGAAATCGGTAGAGCTTTTTGAACTGATGGGTTGGGTTTCGAAAAGTATCTGTGTGTTAGGGGCTGGTACAAAAAAATGAAGGGGGCGTGGCACGGCCTACCTTTACTGCTTGAAAGAGCCAAGACCAAGGAATTCAATGGTTTGTTTTTCTTTCTCCTCCGACTACCGGGCTCCTCAGGCCAGCCTATTAAAAATGGGAAAAAATCGTTGGTGTGGGGAAACTTTCCAATACGGACGATCATTAAAGGGGCGGTGGGCATGAACCGTCATTGACAAAAATTTCGCCCCCGACCACCTAGGCCCCCTATGGGGTAATTCTCTAGTATAGGGTAACAACCGCTAAAAAAAGGTCCGAAAATGTCGGGAGGGGTGCTATTTGACTCGTTTCGGTACCCGTATTAACAATCCGGAGGGGAGGCTAATATTAACCATTTAAAAATTGTAAACAAAAAACTTTTGTTAAATTTCGCCGTTTTGTATGGACAAAGATTCACTAAATCACCTGTTCTCACTTTTTAAACACTATTAAAATATATAATTTAACTTAATTATTAAACAAACACATACACCCCTATGCTGTAATCCGTCGTAGATTCGATTTTGCTACGAATCGTATAATTGGTATGCTGAAATCCGCGTTGTCGTATCGTAATTTCGAAATTCGTAGGCCATCTTCGAAATTCGTTGGTATGCCTGAATCCGACGTAGCTGTCATATTTATGTATTTGTCATATTTATGTATTTGTCGGAATAGCAACTCGTGTCGGAGCGAAACGGAGTGAAGTGTGAATAGAAAAAAAAAATTAAATGTTTACAAAATTAACAGATCGAAGATCACAACAANATTTATGTATTTGTCATATTTATGTATTTGTCATATTTATGTATTTGTCGGAATAGCAACTCGTGTCGGAGCGAAACGGAGTGAAGTGTGAATAGAAAAAAAAAAATTAAATGTTTACAAAATTAACAGATCGAAGATCACAACAAATCGCTCGCAATACGAAAAACTGGTGGAATGCATGAGCGAAAGGCCGGACATTGGTCGAGGCTTTGTAAAAGGAGCTAAAGAGGAAGTGGTGGAATTTTGGGAAAGCGTTCCAAGAATTAAAGCGGCACAATATCTAGTGAAATGGAGGCCCTTAAAAGGAGGGAGCTTACATTTTATCATTTAAGCTAAATGGATCAGAACAATCTCTTAGCAATCTCCTGTCTACCTCCTGCGACAAAAGTGCACCGGCCACTGAATCCTTTGTATTCTACTTAATTAAGG